CTCAAAACACAAGTTTTCTAGTCACTTGCTGACATCACCTACTTTGCCAAATGACCTCCAATGCCCCTTCTTAATTGGGTACCAAAAGTTTTTAGTTTTCTCTCCCTTATTTGAAAACACTCCATTTCTCTCTCATTATTTTTCATTGTTTTGCTTCTCTCATCTACAGACAACTCTCGATGCTTGAACTCCAGCATCTATCGGTCTTCCATTTCTCTCTCACTATTAGGGTTGTTTTGCTTCTGTCATCTACAGACGACTGACTATCGATGCTCGAACTCCATCATCCATCGGTCTTTGTTTTCAAATGTTTCGTTGGGCTTGTTCTCATATAAGTTATTTATTTGTTTGTTTACTGGGTTGTTGATTTTTAGACGTGGAGGGAGAGAAGCTAACAGACAGGGCGTGAAGGCAAGAAGGAGATCGTTAGTGCGTTAAATTGATATGGATAGCTACTTAGAGGATGATCTAGATCGAGAGCGTACATGAGTGAGAGCGAGAGCGAGAGCGTACATGAGCTTGATCGAGAGCGTGCATGGTCGAGAGCGAGAGCGTGCATGGGCTTAATCGAGAGCGTGCATGAACGAGAGCGAGAGAGATGAAAAGACGTGAAATTTAATTCTTCCAATTGTTGGTTGATGTTCTTTAAAGGCAACATTTATTTATTTTTATACTTATTTGATTTTAGTTTATTGAGAATAAACGGGTGCAGTGGAAAACAGCAGTGAGAATGCAAAACAGATAACGAAAGAGATCGTGAATAAGCTTGAACGAGAATGAGCTTGAACGAAAATGAGACGTCATCGTGAACGATTAATAGCACCATACGATAAGTGGATAAATGTGGAAGAAATAGTAATAAGTAAGTGACGATGATGATAATAAGGGATAAATTTTAGAAGTACAACGAAAATTATCGCGAACGAGAATGAACGTGAAAGAGAAAGAAGACTGTAGGATATTGAGAAAGTAAGCACTAACAACAAATAATTAATTAATTAAAGTAGCAAAGATGGGAGATCCATCCATCCCATTACAAAAGTTTTTTTTAGTAGCTTAAACAAAACAACAACCATAAGCTACTACTAGACTGAGATTTTAAACATTATTATTATTACGGCATCAGCGTAGACGGGCCAGTAATAGAGCTACCCTGTCCTCCAGACGAAGTCGTTCCTCCTTCTCCTCCTTCAGCAGTCCCTCCAGCAAGTCTCGCGTTGCTTCAACCCGGGCTAACCTATACCTCGTGTTGTTGAGCTCGTGTTGCGTTCGACGTAGCTCTCTCCTGAGCTGGTCGTTTTCTTCCCGTGCTTGTTAAACAGCACCGTTACTTGGCACTTCAACAACATTTTTCTCCGCGAAGATAAGACTGGTTGCTTCGTCGGAAGAGGAATCGTCCGACTCGTTAGATGTTGACATGTTTGCTTCTGAAAGAAAATGTTAGATACTTCTAAAGAAGCAAAATGGAAGTGGATGTCGTTGTTGTGTACTTTGTGGTATCTATATATAGAGAAATTTGGTTGGTTTCATAATGGATGTGAAGACAAGGGAAAATTGACAAAATA